TATAACTTTATTATACAAATATATATTTATTACTTATATACTCTTACCTGACAATATAAAGAGCTTTCTAGTCAAATTAATAAAATCTGAGTTCTACAACAAATTTTATATATATTTACAATACCTACTATTACTTATACAACTGTTATACTAATAGTAACTATTACTTAATTTATACCAACTTTTAGATATATACCAAACTAACTAAATAATACAAAACTACAAATACAAAGCATTCAAATATGACATTATAGCAAATAAACTTTGAAAAAGATTTCAATAAACAAGTTATCAACTATTATTTTTAATTACAGAAACAACAACCTTTATACTAACTGTTAATTAACTTTGATATTAGATTTAACATGCAGTTCTTACTATAATCAACACATATATACTCTTTGTTTTTTGTTTACAAAAACAATTTCAAAACTTTTTAATTATTGCCTTAAATGTTTATACTGCACTAAATATCTGTAGTAGCATACTTTGTACTTTTATCAACCTTCACTTTGTTACTAATAACAATAATCAAACCAATATCAAACTATAAACAAATTAAATCAAAAAATACAAACAATTATATCATTTACCAAAATAGTTATCAAACCTTTTACTCAGCTGAATATTAACAATAACAAGCCTTTTAATCTTATTAATATAATGAAAGAGCATCACAAAACATTATATTATCCTCAAAATAGTGAAAACAAACAGGCACTATCTCAAAATATTATCTAACAGGTCCAAAAACATTATAACAACTTCACATTTAATACTACAGTAATGATCAACAGTATACTTAATAGAAATACTCATACAGTATTATTTAACAATATAAAACTCACTAACTTTATAATAACTAAATTATAAGAAATCTATCAATGTATCAAAAACCATTTCACAAATTGAACCAAATACAATCCATATAACCCAGCTCTTTAGAAACAATAAAAAGATGAATATAACTTGAAAACAAACATATTTTTAATATAGTATAATATACTAACAGACCCAATAACTCAACAAAAAATAATTAATACAATAAATATCTTACTTAACAGTAAAGTACTAGAACATACACTTATTTTTAATAAAATGCTTAAACATACTTATCCTCATTTTATCAAACTTTTAACAATTTTATTTAATTCATGTTTAAATATTGCAAACATTCTTACTGCTTGAAAACAAAATAAAATATATTCAATATTAAAAAAACAACATTTACAGACCAACTCAACTACAATAGACCTATAACATTTCTTAAACATACTCAAAAAATTTTTACAAAAATTATTATCAACTGACTTAGCAAAATAATATCCAAATATTTTATTTTAGATCTACATAACTTTATAGCTTTATTTTATTTTTCTATAATACAATTCATACAAATTCTTACTAATATACTATAAGAAGTACAAACACAAAACAAAGAAATATAGTTTTTGGCTCAGAACATAAGCAAAGTATATGACACTGTACATATTTACTTCTTCAACATGCTTTAAGCCAAATTAGAATTTCTTACAATATATAATAACTTAGAATCAACATATATAATAATTGATTTAACTCTGTTATTACAAACTTTGGTTCTATATCTAGCTATATGTATAAGATGGTATAGACCAAAAAGAAACAATTATACTACTTCTTTGGCATATATACTATGACCTTCTAATAACCTACATTTATTCCAAATTTTAAGAATACAATATGTTAATAACATCTTTACTTAATACATAACACCTAATATATTATATATTAGTACTAGCTTATATAAATGATATACTATAGCTAGCTTCCAACAAATACACCTTTTAACAAATTATTAACTTTGCTGAATTTTCTACAATATGGCCAACATTACAGTTAACCTAATCAAATCAATCTGGCAACAAATCAGACCAAAGATCTAAATCTAACAATTAACTTTGCTAATATAATTATATATACTATTTTTTTAAAAAATACTTTTCACTATCTGGGCTGCTTGTTTATACAAATATATTAATAATCAAATTATAGCTGAAGCCACAAATTTCATCAGTACTATAAAAAATAAAAGATTACAGAAAAACAATCAATCTATATTATCAATACTGTATTCATATTTTGCTTTTCATACAAAACATTAAATATATTTGTTTACTAATTTAATACCCAAAGCATAACTAACTTATATATACAAATTGCAAAACACAAATCTGAACTGGCCTCAACAACACCCAACTTCATTATATTTTATCACCAAATATATAAGCTATATAGCCTAACAGATTTTTAAATACAGAATTATATCTCTTTACTTTACATACAACTAAACAATTTACTGACAGTTCTATTTATCAAAATTTTATCATAACATCTTCAACAAGTAACACTTTCACCTAACAATATTTTACATTTTTTTAATTATATACTATCTATCAAATTTTATAATATACTTATAGCTCAAACTATAAGAATTGTACACCAATTTAGAATTTATATTCAGAATCTTTCTAATCTCTAGTCAATGCCTACTATATACAAAAGCATCTTAATTAATACACTAATTAAACACTGTACTAAACTAATACAAATCAAGTTATTAACTAATGAAACAAACATTTATGCTATTGAACAACTTACTAATTATACAAATACATAGCTTCTTTTATAGCAGTGCATTATATATAAAGCACAAAAAATACTAAGAGAAAAAACTTCCAAATAGTTTTAGGAACTTAACATAGCTTTTACACATCTACTATATAATATATTTCTACTATTGCTTCTAATCCATTTACTAAAAACTCCATAGTATTAAAAAGAAGTATATGAGTTTTAGCAAAATTAAAAATATACTAATTATAGAAAAAATACAAAAAACTTCTAACACAAATAACATAATATATATAAAACATTATTAGCTACTATCATATAAACTACAACATAAAGCATTACTACTAAATATCTCTAATTCAAATACACTTGTACTGCTAATACTAATTAGCAATGCATAATTACACTTACCATATCCCAGTATATTGTAATTAAAGTATTCAGCTCCAAAGTTCTCTAAACAAACATTAATAACCTAATACAACATTATTATAAACTTAATATACAGATTATGCTATACTTACAAAAGAAACCATTATCTCAACATCTATCTACTACTTTAGCCACTTACTAAAACTTACAACTACCTACTACTTCAATTACCTAAAACAATTTATTGCTTCAAATATTTTTATCAAGTACTTTCACATATAACTATCTTACTTTATCATAATTAATTTACAGATTAAAAACTTTAGCTATATCTTTATACAACTATGATTCAAGCAAATACACTATAGTTATAGGCCCAATTTGCCTGAACTCTTATCAACTAATATAATATTTTTATTACAAATTATATACTGGCCCTCTATAATATATGTATACCTTATTGAAATTATAGCAATACTAATGATAGTTTCACAGAATTATTAAGTAACAGTCTATATAATCTAAAACAATTAACTATATTAACTTTTTTCTTATACCAATACCAAATTCTACTCTTACCTTTCAAAAATATAACTATTGGCTCTCAAACTATTATTACAGACTATAATTGCTTATAAAAATATCAAAATTAAAGGCATCTATATTGAGAATCTTAACAACTACTCTTTATATAACAGAACAATTTATCTGTCTACTAAAATACAATAATACAAACTGCACATATAACTTCATATACTTGATAACAACAACTTTTATCTTAGCAAGAACAATATATTAATTAAACACAAAACTTATTGTTTTATCTGACATTTACAAAATGTAACAAATACTGTAAAATAGCATGCCCTTAATAAAATCAAACACTGGAATAATATTCAAGAAGGTACTAACTTAAACTCAATACACAAATTTCTTAATTATAACAACAAACCTAATACTTGCACTACTTTTTCCAAATATTCACAATTAAAAAGTTTCAAAATCAAATCTTTACTAAATAAGCTATCAATAATATTAAATATATATTACAAAAAACTTAAATCATATACCAATCCTATCTGCAACCATTGTATTATACATATTGAAAACAACTTTTACTAGCTAAAATGCATAGCAAATTCTATATCTTTAAATTTAGTAATCCAACAGACTACTTCCAAATTCTTTACTAAAAACAAAATTGAATTATATAACATATATATCTTATTACAATAACTCTTTCAATTATCAAACAGTATATATAACCTTTTTAAATTACAAGGTCTAATTTCAAATAATCTATTTTCAAGCAACAACATTAATTCAAACATGTTCATCACTTATTCTATAAAATATTAAATAATATTTATAAACAAATATGGACAGAAAGATGCAAAGCAGTGTATCAAAACAGCTTACTAACAAATACACTAACAATTACAACTTCAGAACACCCAGTTACAAACCAAGCAACTGCAACAAAATATGAAAAATAAGCAACTATTTTTCTACTACTAATATATCTGCATTCTACATTACAACATTAAATCTAGAAAAGGTCTAACAATCTACTCTAGTAAAGTTTTAAGTTGAAAATAAATTAGTCCTAACTATAGGTTCATGTAATAATTTATGTAATTCATTTTTACTAATGTAATACCAAATTGTTTAATAAAAACCAAGGCCTAGTTTCACTTTTAATAAAAAAAAAATTAAAAATAATTGAGATAATGTCTATATAACAAAACTTATATACAGATAATATCTAGACAATATATAGGTAATATATAATAAATTTATAAATAATATAAATTTATTAGAAAAAAATAGAGATAATATATAGATACCATATAGTAAATTTATTAAGAATATATTAATAATATATAGATAATATAAAATAAAAAAGCACATATAAATAAGTAGTAATTTGTACTAAATATTAACTACTAAAAACTATATATTTTTAAACTATTTTGTTAGAAATATGTGTTATTTTGACCTGCAAATGTTTCTTGTTATGGTGCCAAAATCAGTTCCAAGTAGGATTCCATTTGTTTCTTATCCTCTACAGCATATCTGGGGGTAATTTGATGCCAGTAAAAGGAACCAGAAAGAAAATCTTTTACTCCTTCAAAGTACGAATTAACAGCTTTATTCATTTCTGGACCAAAATCTGGTAACTTAGAGATATTTTCTTGTATTTGAGTAACACGCAGATTTGACAATTTTGCGGCATCATTAACAGCCTCTTGCAAGGAATAATTATTTAGATTTTTCAAAACAACAATTAAATTATCTGTACCGTTGACCAGAAGTTCTTTCCTGAGGGAATAAATATCGTTTACAAAGCAAGCGTGATCATTGCAATAGTTAAAAACGCATTGAAATTTCGGATCGCTGTATACATCATCAGAAAGTTCCAAATTACGCGTGATCTCGACAAGATTGAACGAAACTTCTGCAGCACCTGTATACCTTCTTAACTCTACGTAGTCATCAACGGAATTATGAACTTTCTTGGAGACACAATTCTGTGCATGTATGTAGTACGCATTAAAGTAATTGGCTAGGGATGTACGAAATCTTTGTTGCCAAACTTTTCCAGTTATACACTTCATTCTTGACCATAAGTCCCATAACGAGACAGCAATTGGATACTTATTGGAATCTGGGAAATGATCGCTATTTATAACCAGTAAGAGACCGTCTAAAGCTTTTTTTAGTTTTTCAGGCTCACCACTTAAGTCAAGCTTATCATCGACCTGATCATCGAGAAAGAATAGCCAGAACATGAAATCGGTACCCAGACAAAGTCTGTCAAACGGGGCGGTTGGAAAAACATAACACCCAAATAGACTATACTTGGCACTTTTAATACGTTTAATTACTTTTTCTTCTGACATCAGTCCGAATTTTATTGCCCACTCAAAAGAATGTTTCTCAACTTCCGAATCATAATCTGCATTATTTGAACGTAAAGGGAAGTCACATTCAAAGGATTTTGGAATTTCGAATTTCTCTTTAGGGTTAATTTGATAAAAATTTTTTTTAGATTTTTTTTTGAAGATTCTCTTTTTAAAAAGATGTTTTAGTTTTAGGTCTTGAATTAATTTTCCTAATGTTTCGAAGGCAGCCATAATAACAGATTTTTTGTAATTATAGACCAAAAATTCTAGCGGGCCATATATATATATCTATGGGCAAGTGCTGAGAAAGGGACAAATTTTTTCAAAAAAATGGGAGGTTTTTTTATCAATAAAATTTTACAGTATAACCTTCTAAAATTTGGATATTCTTATAATCTAATTTAGATTTATAATAAAAACAAAATAATATTCGTGAAATTTGCTTTTTTTTTTTGTTAATTTGGACCTCTTTCTTAGTGCCTAGTCTATATGAGTGAAAATCAGTAACCAATCATAATAAATAATTAAATGTATTTCCTGATTTTAACTCTCATACGCTCATATATATCGACATTCAATTATAAAACATATATCTGAAATGGATAATTGATTTGTGAATAGTGTCACATATACTAAGAGATCCAATCCATTATTCGTCATTATGAATCAGATATTAAAAGTATTGAGTGAATCAAATATTTAAATACATTGAGTGAATCTAACATTTGAATGCATCCTAGCTTGAGATTGGTACCGAAAGATCATAGGGGAATATCTTCATCTATACGTGTGTCAAATTCATATCTGCAACAAATTAAAATAATCATGATCTTGGTAAGAATGGAAAAAATCATGTCGAGAATTTGACATCAATTTGCAAACCGCGATAAATCAAATTTTATGATTTAAAAATTCATAAATCTCCGATGCTCACATAACATAGTATTTTATGATGGTCATATCTTTTTGCAAAGCGTAATAATAAAAGATTTAAATTTGCTTTAAATTGATTTAAATAAAAATCGGTGATTTATATCATCGTTAACTATCATTACTTAATATATATTAAGTTATAAGTATACATTATCCGACATTTCATATGATCACGTAAATTTTTTTGCCTTGATATTTTTTTGCATGAAATTACGTAATCAGTTTTGCAATATATCACGGAAAATTTTCACATGATCATATTAACTATCGGATAACATCAATATTGGATATACGTACGACTAATGATAGGAAAATTTTTTTGTCGTACGTCCAATATGTAATTCATATACAATTATTTTACATATCCCTAACTTTATTCTCTATAAACTTTTAATTAATGAAGCTCAATATTTACACTTTGATCCAACGCCGACTTTAATTTGGCATATAATATATACAGTTAGACCTAAATACAAGCTGTCGGGATAAAGGGCGTTCTCAAGCCTCAATCTCAATGTGATTAGCTAGCGATCGTAATAGTGCACAACGGTAATTATATTTACATAGAATTTTTGAATATGCAAATTATGAAGTAATCAAAGTTTGCTCA